TTTCACGCAATGAAATTTGCTGCGTTTCTTCAGCTTGACACGCATACATATGCAATGTTATGTTTATGTTTATCTTTTAATGCTGAATACTCTCAATTCCTGTGCTCTGCACTACTACACACAAACAAAATTTCACGCTCATGAGAGTTTATGATAGTGTAAACTGAACTGACCGTTCATATTGTCGTCAAGTTCATCTCACGTTCATGATAGTGTAAATAGGTCTATTGACTTCAAAAACTTTTATTCTTTCTATGCGTTCAATGTACTCAAATTAGCATCTCGTTAACAATATATCTTCCTTTCTCATCCTCATCTTCTAGTGGAGCGTAGGACCACTAACGATATTGGTTTCATTCATCGTGACATTTTCGCTTGGATTTGGCACCTCCAAAGTCCTTGTGCCAACTGCTACAGGAGGAGAATTTCTCACAGTGAAGCGATTACCTCTTGGAGTAGTTGTACATCAATTTTCGTTTATCTTGAAAGGGGTGTACAATAGATTAAACTGGTCGCATAGGCCTTAGCCTAATCGAAAAACCCCCAAATACCATTAACCATTCGTTTATCTTCGTGCTTGAATATCGGTTGGGTGTTATTGTCAGGGGGTGATGAGTCCAAGGACAGTACGCTTGACATGTTTATAAAGCGAGCCATTTAGACGCTAACAGATGCTACAAATGCTTATAAATCGTCGTTGCTCAACATACATGTGAAGTGCCACCTCTTCCGCCTTTCCATAAGCAATCTTTTAAGCCCTTATAATAAAGATGTTGGAATAACCTTAAAAGAGCTCTATCTCTCTCTTGTTGACCCTGACCAAGAACCCCACATCGGTTGGTTACCGTGTATTTATCATGTTTGCTGAGGGGTCCAGGATACACCACGTGGAGGTTAGAGTAGGTAAAAAGTTAAAATATACAAATAAATATCCCTTTTTTATTTTCAATAAATTGTCTTGTTGAATATTTTCGTTCGAATGCGAAAAGTTGTGAATAGCTTCACTTAAAACTCTTGTCAACCCCCATAGGTTCTTCAAAGACGATCAGTGAGTAAGTTAAGTTAAGTTAAAGAGAAACAGTATTGCGAAATGTAAAGAAGTATATCTAATATCAAGTTCTGGTCACTATGGTGTCGCAGGTAAAGAATTGGCTGATAACTTAGTCAATAAAGGTCGTGTTGGCACACCTATAGTGCCAGGAACAATATTCGGCAGTTTTGCAGAATTCCTTTGTTGGGTCAATGAGTTTGTGAACTTAAACTCCTCCTGGAAGTGTGATGTTTACTGTTACTGTTTTGTCGATCTTTGATATTGTTAATTCGGACAAAATATTAATTTACTACGTACTCAAAATGCAGAAGTGTACAATTTCAGTAATAAGTAATCTATCAAATTTACATGGATTCAGTCTGGAATATTACCAATTTGAAAACTATTTTCTTTTTCGGGTATCTGAGTTGCAAGTCATTTAAATTTAAATTTTTAATATTTTTCGCAATAAAAGAACTACGAGTAGTGCCTCATAATAAGGACACTACTCTGTTGGTTTAAATAATTCCTCTGCTCAGAACCATTTAATAGTATTATTGATGAACGACGTCCTTGTACTTAACATTTTTATGAATATTTAAGGAACATGACAAATGCTGTCAGATACTTGCCGCAAAAATTGATTTAACAATTTCATGTTTGATAAAATAATCACAGCTTACAGCTTATATTTTAATTATACATCCATTGCAGAATAAAAGCTGCACTTCACTGGTAAAGCATAAAATTCCATGAAGCAAAAATGTTGTGAAAAAGCAAAAATGGTTCCTTTATGGCACAGCTGGAGCCCTGTACCTATTATGGCCTGTACGTATTGAGCAAGTGGTTGACGTTTATTATTATTATTGATATTGTTTGGGCACAAACTGCTTCTGGCTGTGCCACAACATGAGCAAAATTTGTCCTTCGTTAATTTATGAAAATCTGAAAACACAGTTTTCGACTTTTAGAGCCATTCATGCTGCTGTGGTCCATTGTTGTTGCGCTGGTACGAGTGTTTATGGAAAAAGCATTATGGACTTTTTCATCTTGTTGGCATAGCGCGTTCTCAGGATACATAAAATGGGCGCCAGTTTATGTTTTATATCTGTTATATCTATGCTATCCGACGTCATTGTAATCTATAAATAGTGAACTTCTATATTTATTTAATGTGTTATTTATGAGGTAAATTGGTCATGGTAATAAGAAACAAAACTCGTATTCCCGCTGATTGTATGCGGCGTGAAAGTTATTGAAGCACAACTTGGCATAATATTTGGCTACATAAAATTAATATAATTCAGCGATTTATTGTTTTATTATTCGGTGATAATTATTTGATTGCTATTAGTTTGATTAAGAGAAATTAATTCATAAATTTGATTCGTATTTATTATACTAATGTGTGGTAATTTGCAACCGTGGTAATTTTGTTTATACATATTAAACATAATACAATTGAATTATATTTAATATCTTTATGTTTATTTATTTAGTTGAAATAATACAAATTTAAATGTAAAATTATGAAAAATAATTTATTGTATTTAAGTAAAGTTAAACAGAAATTATTATTTCATTAATGTACTAACTACAATCTAGGTTAGATTAATATAGAACAGTGCTGTCCAGACCAGATGCAATCGTGGGCCAATATAAATCACTGTATAAATGGGAGGGTCGCAGAAATAAATACGTTCATAGTTGTTTACGAGAAAAATAAAAATACAGTTATAATTTTAAATTTAGTATTTTTAATTTATCAATTTAAATTCATATATTTGTTACATATACTATAAAAATAAAATAATGTAGGTTTACGAGTACACCAAAAGAAAATTTACGTTATTGTAGTAGATTAAAAATATGTCACGGGCCGCACAAACAAAAGCCGCCGACCGTACTTTGGACAGCCCTGATAACTATGTTTACGCGTTTGTATAAACCCGATATTATCTATGTAGATTTATAATAAGCATTTTTGTGAAACTAAAGAATGTTTAAGGCTCTTTTCTGAATTGGAGTCACTAAGCATTTTTTTGAGATTTTTTAAAGCTTTATTTTAGTTGAAATAATAAAGAAATTTAAATCTAGACCTGGCATACTGCACTCAATTAATAATTATATTAATCAATTAGTCAATTAATCAATTAGTCAATTAGTAATCAATTAGTGAATTATAAGTAAGTAAGTATTTGTATAAAGATGTACTTATATTAAATTTTCCCATTGTGATATTGCATGATTCTAGTATAATGTTTCATCAAAATTAAGTTCATTTAGTTAATGTCACAAGTTATGTGGTAAGAGTCTTTTCAAAGGCATGTTGGCAACATATGAGGTTTCTATCAACTTACAACAATCAAACAAAATCATTCTTATATTTGCTAAACGCTTGGTAGGAACAACGCAAGTGTTTAATTTGTCGCAATTTTCTCGGAAGGTCAAGCTTCAATTAAATCTTTAATAGGTGTTACTGTCCCTTCTCTTACAATTCAAAGAAATCCTGCTTCTCTTAATGAATTGTTTAAGTTTATCAGTGCCTAACTCACATGAGTGTTTGGACTCAGTTGTAATGGGCAAGCAGATGAACTTGCCAAAGCAGACACACTACTTCCTGAAATTCACTTTCCTGACGTCTGTATTCTTCTTACAATTAAACATAAGTACTAAGTAGAGTTTGCCAAGAAAAACCAGAGTATATGAAGGTTCTTGTCAGATATTAGACGAAATTTCTACCATTCAGCTTATTTAATTAAAGCCGAACCAAATCAACTCTGTGGTATTGATGTTTACAGGTCACTGATTATTTAGAAAACTTAGCCTATCCTCCAATTGTTTTTGGTGAAGGTTATATTAAAGCAGACTGATCTAAACTGATCTGGTAAAGTTGTTATGCTTTACAATCATGGACATAGATAAGTTTGTAGACATATAAGGTAGGTTCGTCTTTACTCAAATACCATAGGTGAGTTGCGCATTCTATACGGAATACTTCCCGTGCACTAGATGTTTAGGAGTACTAACTTTAAGATGGTTTTTGAGGTCTTACGAACCATCTTGGTTCATATTCTTGCCATAATAAATTGTTATCTGCAGACTAAGAAATAAATTGTCAGCGTAAATCAATCATTCCATTTTTGTTTACTTTAAAACTTAAGGAACAGAGAGACAATATGGTATATGCATAAAACTGGAAAGAATTGAGAATTTGTATTAGGTTATATATAAACGAGGCAGTCAAAAAATAAATTTTTATTCCTCTCACCATTAAGCTATGTCTACTGAAGTCGTCACATGCAGACCTATATTTCGGAAGATCTAGATAAAGAAATAACTTTATGTACATTAGGTTTATATATTAGTTACAAATACAATTGCATTTTATAAACTTGTACTTTTTTGTGGAAGAACTATATTCTTTAATTGTAATTTCAAACCATTATATGTAATGATAAAAGCCCTGTATCATTATTCATCACATGAGAACTCAAAATATCAGAGATTTGAAAATTATGAATGATTTATAATAAATAATCGTATAATTAATATGTTTATTTTTTTTATTTATTTATACTTGATCGAAAAAAACTTTGACGATAAAATGAATCAAATTTCTTACTTGCAAAAATGCTGATTCGAAGATTTACGAAACTTAGTGGAACTCAATTGCGATCGTGAGTAAAAAACCCCGGCAATTAAAGTGCGGTAAAGCATAAAAGAACTACGAAACCAGAAATTTCTTATTAACACACAATGCCAAGGTTGTTGGTAGCTGTAAATGACATAAACAGCACATGTTCAGCGATCAAAAAAATTTGTAAGCTCGAGCGGTATTAGCCCTTGAAAGTGGGGAAATTATACTTGGAGCGGAATTAAGCACGTTGCCGTCATCAAAGAATGTGCTCAACAAAACGAATCGAACGTTATAAAAGCACTGACCCAAAATTAGCGGCTTGCATAATTCTGCATCGATCACGTCAAACTGTTGAAATCAGCAGATTTCCGAGTTACCAACAAATAGAAAATAAAAGCACATCCGAAAAATACTGACGGACATTGAAAATTTGCAACAAAATGCGAATTTTCGTTAACTTATTTATTCTTTGCAGTCTATCGATATTAGTAAGTGGGCAAAACAACAAGTATGGTTTATGGCCACCGGAAAAGAGTTGCGGTGAGTCTACAGCTATAGTACAATGGACCGGAGGACAATTTGAATTTCCATGTTCATCCACTAAATCGCTGTTCAAAAGTTCCGGTAAATTTATTTCCAAAAATGTTATAGCTACACGTGCGCAAATTGTGGGTGATGTGCTTTATCTGGGCTTGCCACGTTATAGACACGGTGTGCCTGCCACTTTGGTTAAAACTAATGTACAACCAGGTACTTGTACCACCACATTTACACCATATCCATGTTGGGATATGCAGGAGGAAGGCACATGCAAGGCATTACAGTCCGTTGTGGACTTGGTAGTGGATCAAAATAAAGTTCTATGGGTGTTGGATACTGGTATTGTTAACACATTGGAGACACCTATACGTAAGTGTCCCCCTAAAGTGGTAGCTATGTCTGTGAAAACTGGAAAGGTGTTGAAAACTATTTCACTGGAAGGACTTACTTCAAGCAGTTCTCGTTTGCAATATTTGGTGGTGGATTACGCTCCAGATGGCAGTTGTTTTGTTTATGTAAGCGATGCAGCAAATCGTGCTATAATCGTATATAACCTACAAGCCGATCGTGGTTTCCGTGTTGTATTGCCGAAGGCAATAACAGCAGGCTGTCGTACGCGTGACGTACTTTATATTGCGCTTATAAGACGTGATTGTGGTACAACGGAACTATACTTCAGTTACTTGAGTACAAATAAACTATTCTCTATACGTTCTGAGGATTTAAGAAGTGGTGTGGCTGACGGACGTATTATGGGTAAGTTGCGTTTTTTGTGTACAATTTATAAATAGGCTGTAGTATACTCATGGTGAAGTTTAACTAAAATCTAGTTAGCAAATATTATATATGGGAATGTCTAGAGTTTATTATTTTTATTTTTACGTGAGGAATACTTTTCACTGGCAACAAAGTGGTATATTTTATTCGTGCCAGTTGTCTTAATTGATTCTTCAAGGAACATCTCCGATGCTTTTGTGTGTGTGATATGCTATACGGGACAATGAGTGAATCGGAGGGACTCAGAGTGAACTTTTTAACCTTATAAATGTTTATTTAAAAACATTATAGATGTGTACATACATATGTATGTGTATATGGAATATACTACTTTATATCAGTTTTCGCTGTCTATTGTATCATATATACAACTAAAAAGCAATTTTAATTAAAAATTAATTTCTAAGTAATTTAATTTCAAAATTTTATTAAAAAATAACTAATTTCTTTTCTACTGCTTAGATTTGGGTAAAAAGCCCGCTCGTATGGTTATTATTGGCACTGACAATGGCTCAGCAATATTCTTCCGCAACGAGGGTGACGCTGAAGTATTTCGCTGGGACACCAATTCCACCTTCACAGAAACTAACTTCAAGCCGGTCTATCGCAGCCCAACGTGTCAACTGGCAACGCATGCCGTGCCCGACTACAAACGCAACACGATGCGCGTACTGCAGAGCAATTTTCCCGATTTTATGCAAAACCGCGTCGGCTGCGGTGCCATACAGCAGTTAGCCGTAATGCAGGGTTGCTGGTAGAACAGCTCGAATGGGGACTTGGCACAAATTCCGCTAGGTTAACATGACGTTGCAGTAATTTATTTTATAATTTTTTTAAAGTTGCTCAAAGCGCGAACCACTTCAACCATTTTCAATTTAAGTTCCCAACGCGTCGCTCCGAACGCATGCAGTAAATTACAGCGAACGCAGTTCTAGGTCTGTAAGGAGAAGCGACGGTGGCAAATTGATATGATATTGACGCCGTATTGACAATGTTTTCGCTGTTCTTTTGCAATTTCGTTTAAAATGAAAATGTGTTTTCCTTTAATTTGAAAGTGGTTATGACACAATTGGGTCATGTCGGCAAATTAAGTTTAATAACAAATTTTTCCACCATCTCACAGAAACTATTTTAAGAAATTTAACTCAATTCTTTACTCAATTGTAAATTTCATAAAATTTTATACTTTTTTTTACTAATATATTATTAAGTTTATTTATAACGAGTTTGATATTTATGAACAAACTCATGAAATTTAATTTTTTTACTATAATTTATAATTGATTTTATATATAAATTGAATAAAATGATAAAATAAATAATTTTTTTTTTTATAAAAGCTTAATTTATTTAGATTTTTTAAATTAGAATTGCACTATCTCAAACCAAATGCAATATATATTTTGTCTGGAAGATATGTTGGGCTTCGAAGTATACTTTAATAAAATCAACTGAATGACTTCATATCAGAATTTAATTGACCTCTTATTGTAGTCGATCATCCAAGTGGTCAGAGACACTATTCAGTAAATGTGCTTTGGGCACTTACTTGCGTTCATTAAACAAGGTAAGAGTAGAAGAAATTATATACAGAATTTAAATACTTTTGTTGCTATGTATTAGCATTTCTATCCCTTACCTAGCTTTTCATGATGAAATCGCTTGATTTCAAGGTGTCTTTTACTGGTTGTGATTCGGCGTTGGTGTTGAAGAACCGGCTTAACCAGTTGTTCTATCTCTCATCTAGCTATTCTTGTTGAAATCGTGTCTTTTACTGGTTTTGTTCTGTGAAACAGCGCGTAGTCGTGTGACAAAATCACCGAAGCAACAACACCGATCCGGCCTTGCTGTTGAAGGACCGGCTTCGCCAGATGATTGCTTCAATAGTTTTCGCTTGGGTTTTCAAAATAAATCCATTTTTTATCATCCGTCACGATTCGATTCAAAAATGATTTTCTTTCGCGACATTACAGAAACATTTTATAAGTGATTGTGTGATTCCCCATTTGACGTTCATTTGAACCATACGTGACCCATTTACCCAGTTTGTCATTCCCATTGCTCGTAAATGTGTTTCTTGTAACACATTTAGTGCTTTTGCTAATTAATGCTGAGTTATAGTTTGGCCATCATCCTGCTGCAATTGCCTGTCTTCGCACTTTTGTGCTCTACCAGAGCGCTCACCACCATTGATATAGAAATCATCAATTTTAAATGGAAACCATGTTTCAATCTATGGAGTATGTTCACTATATGTTTCAAAAGCAAAACACGAAAGCAATGCGTGCTGGAAAAATTTTTTTTCAGACACGAAGAGGCTAACAAGACCCAGGTTTTTACAATGTTAAGAAAAATTGATTTTTTAATAGCTACTAAGACGATAACTTACCTCAAAACTATTATAGCAATATAATGGTAATAGTACTCAAAAATAATAAAACTGTCTTAGTGTGACCATGATACTCATATATTTCAGAAAAAACGGGGAGTCCTCCCCCTTAATGTGAGATATATAGACTGGTTTACATGTAAACTGGTTTTTGAAACGGTCTCTCTTGTTTATAGTAAAACACAGGGTTATCCTATTATAAAACACACTTGTTATTGAGATTTCAAACAAACAAGCTATATAAGCTTGGATCTTATTCAAAAAATATTCATGGGATGTCTTACAATATTAAATCCTTTTGAACTATTTTTTGATTAGGTATCGCTACATAGCTGTAAATAGCTCGACCATAGTTCAATTGATGTGTCAAATATCCTTTGAATAATCTCATAAAAATGTATGATATGGATGATCAAATTATGTCGTTAAAAAGTCTAGAAAATTTCTGCCTCAACAAAATATAAACAACAGGACGCTGCTGTGATACTTGAGGTATAATCCAGTTGAACCATCAAATGATGGTTCGTTTGCGCAACTTTCTTCTTTTGTTTAAAAAGTACGTGTCTATTACACTTCCAGATGAAAAGTCACACTTCAGAGTCACACTTCAGAGTGACTTTTTATGAAGACGGTGATCTTTTGATAATAATTTATGTGCATTAAACGCTCAACGTGTGTTAATGATGTCTGTGGGCATATGCAACAAACGAATCATGTGAGGTTCCTCACTAAATAAATTCCATACAGTTCTCATATTATAAAATGAAACTAAGTGGTAAATATTACGCTATCTTTTATACCAAAAGGTAACATCATAACACTACGGTTTGAATTGCAAGTCTATTTTGTTAATATAGCAAAATATTAAGCACATTTTCTTATTAAAAAAATCTCTGTCTCTTGTTTTCCGGAAAATTAGAGATTGCATTCTGATTGTTAAGCTAAACATCACAAAACTAAGTACTTGCTGTATTGGATGATAGATTCTGTTTGATATATTTTACTAAGAAAGAGCTGCCTAATCAAGACTACGAAATGAATAAATCCTTACGCTTTCTATTCAGAGTGTGCCCTCACCTTATCTGTGATTTTAGGAAAACCAAAATCATGGTCAACTCAAGATTATTATTAGAGTAATTATTCCTTATAAATCAGTTCGTAGTTATAAAATTCTGTGTGATATAGCATAAGATAGTCTAATATTATGCAGTAGTATAACATATTAATTTATGATATCGTAACCAATGCAGACAGCATAAAAACTCAAAAATACATTATGAATTTTACAAAGTTCTAAATAAAATTTTATAACTTGGAATAGCATTGATCCAAGCATAAATCATATTTCTGGAAACAAACTAAAATAATAAAATTGTGGCACAGATGCAACAATCATTCGATATAAAATTTTACAACTGTGCAGTAAAATGTGTCCTACGCCCACCCACATTTCTATGGTGTAGTGTGTCAGCACGTGTTAATAAAAATACTAAAACCAAAGTGGAGAACATCCGATAAAAAGATAGAAACTTATACCACATGATTTATGAGCAATTTGTAATTTTTGGCAACAAAAAGCAAAATTTCCAAAAATATGAATATGAATATGAATACGAATATAGTACACTGTAAAAAGAGTTATAACTACAACAACAACGAGACAGGCTATTATCAACTTCTGGATGAAATGAAAGTGAAAATGAAAATATTTGGGAAAACAAATAATTTACAACAGTTGACTTATAATAACAATTTCCCATTTTTGCCGGTTATCTGCCTGAACATATTTTTTCTGGTCGGAATTGTCCCACGACGGCCACGCTAATCTTTGACGTTTGTGAAATTTTTATCTGGGCGCTTCTATTCTATTTCGGGTTTATTAAAATGAATTGTTAACATTTATGGAAACTATACCAATTTCCCTGACAATCTCACCAGCAGAAATCATGCACACATTTTACGTTTTTTTTATATTATTGCTGACATTGAACTTTGAATATTCTCTGACGAAAGGTCCTGCTCCTTATGGCAGGAGAATAAAAATCTCAAGCAACTTTATTTGATACAAGTTTTATTAGCTCGCATTTAAACTTTATTAGGAAAAAAATGACTTGAAGCCAAGTAAGTTTAATTTCATGCTTCGTCTTCCTCGGCTTTCGAATTTCAAGTGCAACTCGAAGTGAGTGCATAGTGCATTGCCGCGGGATAACGGATTAATTAAATAAAAATTGTTCGTTGAGATATTTTATCAAAAGAGCTGCAGGATTGCAGTTCATTATATCTTTCAGTTGCAGTTGCAAAAGTTAAGTGCTGCTTTATTGCAGTTGCAAGTTTTGTTGATTGGGCGTTGCACTTCTATAAGCATTTCAAATTATTTATTACTTTTCTGCACTTTCCGGATTAAGGAAGCGTAGCACCATCAATAGATTTACAGATTTACTTCAACCTTGTTGAAGCGGAAGAATTTAGTGGTAGTTATTCAAGTATTAGTGTTGTTCTTGTGAAAATAAGTTATTATTAAAAAAAATATTTAATGTTGATTTGAAATCAACATTAAAAAATAACTTTTAATATCAATTGGAAAAAATTTAATAACTTTTAAATCTTTAAAAAGCATTCAAACTTTCTTAGAATATACTAATATAATAGTATTATATTCACGTACACATAGTAATAAACTTATAGATTGTTCAGTGGCGCATTAGATTAGGTAAAGTTAACCAGATTGGACATAGGCCACACATAGACCTACTGGTGTCCAGCGATACCATACAAAATTAATGTTATATGTAGTAAACATTATAAAGCACATCAAGGTTTTTTCTGAATCTAAGGAATCTTAATTCATAAAACGTTTTACAATTTTCCCAACTGTGAGGTCCCTAAGTATTTTTAATTCGACACATACATGTAAGAGATGTTTCACAGATTACTTCGTTTATAATACTCTGTCTTTCCTGCATATAGCATGTCACTAATAGTAGTTCGTACCTTGTATGTATGTGCCACTAGTAGATTAGAACCCGTTACCAAATCTATGACAGCTCCACAAACTATCCGTTACAACGATAGTGCTAGAATCGAGCATTCGTTTGACACACACAGAATAGTCACACATTATGATGTATACATTTGCTGAAGACAGTTTTGGAGATGAAATGTATACGATATTAGATCGGGTAATTATTGATAAAAACGAGAGACCTATTAAATTATTTAAATTTTATGGGATGGATTTAGGGATTTAGTTTATACTTCTATCTAAAGAATTCTAGCAAGGAATGTGGCAGCAAAACGGCGAAAAATCGCAAATTGAGGTACCTGGAAAGTTATATGATGGCTTCTTTTCTATTCTTTCATGCTTTATCGTATATCAGTTCTCCCTGTGAGGTATATCTAGGAAGCATGATTCTAAGATTTGTAATCGTTTAAGCTCGTGTATCACATGTCCTTTTGTTTTTTTTTTCATATGTAACTGTTACATCATATGGTCTTCTAATCTTCTACGATAGTATGGCCATACGTTTTACAAGCGACTTGAATCAAATTGGATTCCGTGATGGAATCCAATATTTATATTTATATGTTCTGGCAATACTCTCATAAACATTACTTGCTTAGTGACTTGATGACAGATGTCGATGACCTGAGTTTCTGAAATGAGACATTTGATGCGCAGGCTACAAATTCAAATTGTTTACGGAAGATGGTGGTTTCTAATGC